TCGGCAGGAGCACGGCAACCCGCTGCTAGCAACAGGGCGTTCTGCTATGTACCCGTAATGAGAAAACTGGGAATAGCAAGAAAGAGAAGAGATTATTAGATAATAAATTATCAATGCACCAAAAACTGCTCTGTACATATTTTTTCCCCCTTACAGCTTCCCTAATGTCCTAGGAAAGTGACAATTACACAATTTAAGGAGGTTACGTTTATTAAAATCCTTTTTTTATTACTTTTCTTTTAATATGTGGTTGAGATAAAGCATCCGATTAGAGGAAGGTCACCAAATAAAATATTTAATACTCACAGAAAAAGCAATTCATCCTCCCCCCACACACCACGGCAGCAGTGAGGCAGGAGGCTCCGGGACAGCTCGCAGCAGCCTCGAGCAAGCGCTGCCAGCAGCAGGACCCCGCTCCTCCTCGTTGGCTTTGCCACCTTGTGACAGCCCTTAGAAGCCATGAAGACCACCAGCTCTGGAAGAGGCAGCACATAGGACCTCACTAGCACCTTCCTGACCTCAGCATTGCTTAAAAAGCAACACCCGCTCCAGCTCCACACATGCAGATGCCGCACCCAGTGTAAGACCGAGGCCTTCAAACTCCTCCCGGGGCCTTCGTTGCCCCAGCCCGTCGTGTACTCACCACTGTACCTAAATCCCACACCACCGCATCACAGACCCCTGAATGACGTGCTCTCTCTCACCACAAACTTGCCAACACCATTGGGAACTATTTGCAGAGGGATATCGCCCACTGCCCTCTCTCCTAGCCACAGCCTTTATTTTAAATTAACTCCTCTCTTGGGTCTGGCAGTGGTGACCACAGCAGGGCAGCGACACCATGGTGCTCCACCACCAAGCTTGTCTCCTGGGCTACAACTGGGGAGGCCAAATCCAGAGGTGACACAGAATTGCTGGGGCTACCAACTGCTGGAAAAGGCCAGGGAGTTCCAGAGGCACCATTCAAGCTCAGCTGGGTGTGCAGGGTGGTAAAAGTCACTTTAACCAACGTGAAATAACACACACACAAAAATTTGTTCTCAGCTGGCTCTGCTGACTCCTTGGCCATGATTTAAGTACTACAGATCGGGAGAACAGCCCCGGCCCAGCAGGAAAACCACGTCCCCTCCCGCACACTCTGCTGCCAGGTGCTACACAGTCTGCGTGCAGCTCAGCCACAAGCACCTGCCAGACTGCAGCGAGCAGCAGCCAAACAAAGCCCCTTTGCCTTCCTAGAGATCTGCCAACCCCCGCAGATACCTGCTGTACATTTAAAGCTCCATCTACTGACTGATTTTCCATGAAGAAGCTATTCCGAGCTTTGCTCACCTCCTTTAAGTAATGAATGCTGACAGGCAATTAACGAGCTGCATTTAGCTGTCAGACACCGCACGTGTGGCCAGAGCCCAGGGTTCAAGGCAGGACTCTGGAAGTCACCACTGTGTGGCCATCGGGATGAGTTTTGCTAACAGCTCCTGGGCAGGACCATTTCTCCACATGTCTTGCCCCATGCTTGTTCCCCTTGCTCTTGTGAGCCAGACTTGCTTTGGACAGTGGCAAGACCCAAGAGCTTCGCAGTGAAGATGGATGGGGAGAGATGTGTGTTTTTATGAGACTGAGTGTTCTTGCATGTCCAGAGGTAAGAGGCCAATGCACTACACAATGGCCTTGTCAAGCCATCTGGATTAATTTAATAATAATGGCTTCCAAATGCTCCTGTGTGGCAGATAGTGAATCCTTTCTAAATGTTGCTTGCAGTGTGCTGTGAAGAAAAAAAGTGTATGGATTGTTAACTACACCGCAGGTGAGAAATAAAAGCACCAAGCTCTCAAAGCCCTGCACAAACATGGTCTAATTACTGCTTGTTAACACTTCTATGAGCCAGGCACGTATTTCTATTGCCCAAAGCCACCAGAAAATGTGAGACCCCAAGTAGGGGCTTATCTTCTCGCACGCGGCACCCGAGCCCTCACAGCGGGTGCCCAGGCAGTAGCTGGATGGAGACTGGGGGAAGCGATGCAGTGACCTGTAGGGTTTGGGCTCCCCCTCTGTGCACCAGGAGCCATCCCTTGGAAGGGCTGGGAGAGCAACCAGCTGGGGACAAACGTGCTGCTGATTGACACCACAAAGGGGGGAGATGAAACAAAATCTCACAGTGAGCCACAGGCCCTGCATGGCTCAGCCTGAAAGGAGCAGCAGGCTGGAGATGAACAATGCCGCAAATCACTTCTGAGTTACAGAGGTAACACAATGGCAGGACTGCAGAGAGTCCATGTACTTGAAACACCAGGACATGCATTTTAATTTAGAAGGACTGAAAGTTTAAAAAAAAATAATAATCATCTCAATGTCACATTTCCAGGTCAGCATTTGACTTGCTAACTCCTGCTGCGGGCACAGGTAAAAGAGCCCTGAGTTACGAATTCTGTGAGACCCTGACAAGTGTAACCACCACAGCGTCTAGGCTGGGGCTGGATGGTGAGCGTGTCCTAAACCAGCCAGTCTGCTTGTTCTCAGAGCAGAATAAAAATAAGAGATAATGGGGGGGAAAAAAAAATAGAGGGACTGGAGTTATGGGTCGTTAATGAAAATGGCATTATCTCTATCTGAAGAGCAAGCCCTTTGGCTCAAGTCAATCTTACTTGAAAAGAAATAACACTACCCATCCAGCCACCCATCCACATGCCTCCCGGTCCCCTTCCAGCCCCAAACAGCCTGCTTGCACCCACTGGTGCTACAGCTCACCCAGATTTAGAAGACTAGTCCAGCTCCCCAGGGACTTCTGCTTCCCCAATGCCTATCCACACATATCCAAGCCACGCTCCACGCAATGTAGCAGCTGCCAAAGTTGCACAGAGCATCACTTTTTAACAGGGTTGTTAAAAGTTGCTTGTGAGTCTGGAAGGGGCATCAAAAAGTATTTTCACTTAATAATCAGACTTAATCTCTTTACGTTTTGTTGAAGTCACTTTCCCAGGGCCTTGGGCAAAAATCAATCTTAAAAGCGTTGTGAAGCTGTACCGTGGTAGTTAGATAATTTATTATTCCATAACTGTGGGTCTTAATCTAATTACAGATCATATCTAGGGTTCGCTTCAACTTCTTTTATTTTTCTATTTTTACTTGCAAACACTCACAAAGAAATGACATTGTAAGTGGAGGAGATGGGAAGCATGCAGTGTTTTTCCTGCTCCCATATGTCACCACTTTTAGTTACCAAAGACCAAGAAACAAGGGAAGAACAGCAGTGAGCAAAAATTCCTTCTTTCATAGCAGGACAGAACAGTTTTTAGCACAAAACCTGCCTACAGCCATGTGAACCACAGCCTTCTCCGATGCCCTGATGCAAGACAGCGCACTAAACCACCCTTCCCAAAGGGCACCTATCCTGAAGACTCCCAGGAACGAAGATGACTCCTCTTTCCCATTTAATTGTCTCAACTAAGCCGTTGGTTTCATTTAAGCACACTGTCTCCTTGGGGAATTCACCTGCTTCTGTCTTCTCAGTGCAGCATCTGCTACACATTAACTCTCCTCCAGCCAAGAAAGTCAGGCCCAAACCAAGAGAGGCATTTGCAGAACTTCAGAAACCACAGGAAAACCTTCTCACTTTCAGCCTGCAGGGAGAAACTGAACAACACACTTCCAAATGCAAGCTTGCCCTTCCCGGATGACTGCACCATCCCAGCCTTCTGCATCCGTGTGGTTTGCGTTTCCACCAGGTAATGCATCGAGTTTGACAGGTCATTTGCCCCGGCCAGCAGCGTGGGGATGCTGCTCATCCCCAGGACTGCAGAAATCAATCAGCAGGCTGCCCGGGGACCTACACCACCTGAACATGGTACCTCGCTTGCTCCATACCCTGGGGAGCATCCTACAGACAACGTGTGATTCATTTATTTAAAGCAGCTAGAGATAGCTCTCGGAGCCTGTAATAAATACCTGAGATGCAGTAAAGTGCAAATAGAAATAAATAGCAATCTCACAGCGTGTATTAACATTAAATCATTGGGGCAGCATCAAAACAAACTTAGCCCCTCATTTTGTTCCGCAGTGATCCCATAAGCATTTATTTTCTTTTTCTACAAGCAGGAGTTAGCATATAGGGGATATCAAAATTGATTCTACCTAGGCAGCTGCCTGCAAAGATTTGGGACCAGCTAAAAAGTGCCAGTCAAGGCTGGGGAGGGAGCCTGGAGCTTCCTCACCCCACCAAGCTGGTGGCCTCCCAGCTCAGCTGCTCAACATGAGGTGCTAACCCATCACAACAGAGACCAACAAGGGGCATATCAGAAGAAGCTGTGGAATTGAAGTCCATGCTTTGCTCCCCCAGAGCAAAGAATCAAAGCAAGGAACAAAGGGACATCACTGATGCCCTCTGCCACGCTAGGACAAAAAGCAGACCTCCTCATCTGCTCTGCTGCCGATTTGAAAGGGGATCTGGGCCTATTTGCCCCCCCCCTCAAAGTTCAGCTGAGGACCAGAAAGAGCCTCACCTTGTGGAGATGAGCATTTCGTTACCTTGGTGATTAAGGAGCAGCATATAAGACCTAGTTCATTTTAAGGCAATGACATAAATCTCTTTAGGCAAGACAAACCTGGCTCCCAGACAAGGTTGTGGCTTGTTTTGGAAAGATTTTGCACACATTTTTTTGGAATCACGGTCTTTTCAAATAAAAGGTATAATAGATTGAGTTGACCATTTAAAAATAATAATTCAAGTTTCTTCCAGCCTATTCTTCCCAAATGCAAAGTTCCTCTAGAGCGCAAAAATACCCCAAAGTTGCCTTTGAGGTATTTTACCCAGTTACCCACAGGTTGTGGCAAGAAGTGAACAAAAGCAACATCAAAGAATCAACTTCAGCACACGCTTTATCTAAGGAACTTGAGTTCCTTTTTGTAGACATGACGTCTTGAAAGCCTTTCTGCTCACATTATCAACAGATTTAACAAAGTGAAAATAAAACACTGAAGGGAGAACAGCCTGCTTTGCTGCCCACCAGAAGGTCACCCAGTATCTCCGTGCGTTGCTCTCCCCCTCTTGCAAAAGAAGGGCACAGGCAGCACAACTCCACTGCATTTCTCCTGTAGCTCTTGGGTGCCACCACTTGGGTGCTTGGGAGAGGGAGACACCAAGCCTTTGCTTTCACTCTGCCACCTTCTTGTCTCCCTGCCCTGTCAGCAAGCTCGTTCAGGCTTTGCCAACTTTCTAACTTAAGCAGCTTTGCAGCTTTAGAATAGCTACATGCTATTTTTGCTTGGTGGGTCTTTGGAGGCACAACGCTGTTAGACGTACATCAGTGGTTTTCCTCTCCCCCATCGTCCCAGAGCAAAAAGAAATGAGGCTCAGGAAGGAGCTGGTGGTAACTAGCTAATTTGCACCTCGTCGGATACCAATTGCAAATTCTCTTGTTCATTTGCTCTAACCAGAGTGCAGAGCAACAGGAAAAGCTGCTGCTTCTCTGGGTTTGCCAGAGCCTCTGACATCCCATCCCTCCTCAGCCCCTCTCTCCACGGAGGAGGAGATGCCCCATTTTCTATATTAACTGTCAGCGTGGCGTTGTCTACTTGAATAATATTGAAAAATGAAGCAGTAACTCATCTGCTTCGTGTAAAGGCCTTTGGCCTCCTCTTCTCTCACTGCTGAATTGAAATCTGCTGGGGACATCGGGCCATTTTCTCCTGGACAGCACCAGGGAAAAGAATTGCACTGCTAACGAAGTGTTGCTCCATTCTTTAGAGTTTAAGAGCCCAGGAGCCAGGGTTACAACGGGAGCCCACGGTGCTCTTGGCTTGCAAGAGGATACCAAAGCTGTACCCAAACTGCCATAAACGTCAGTCACATTAGAAATTGAAAGCAGAAATTTTTAAGAGAAGTTTCTTGTCCTGTTTTAAAATAATCTTTGAGCATACGACTTACTTATTACGACTTACACGGGCACTGCTACAAGGGCACTGGTAGCAGCTTTTACACTTTTTATTAAAGGAATAGTTAGATCCACACATTCACAACTCAGAAGTGCCCTTTTCGTGAATGTCCCTAGGCATCTATTCATATCTATCGATACCTAAACATGCATTTTAAACTAACCACATGCTTAACAACTTTTCCCTATGCAGATCTTGGCAAACAGTCAGATAAATAATGCTGATACACAAGTAAAAGAGCTTGATCTAAATCCACTAAAGGTCAGGGAAGTTTCTTTCCTCGAAGTCTGACAGGACTTGCCCCTCTGCTCTGCCCCATCCTCCATCTCAGGACACCCTGGAGCCCTCACACCCTCCCCAAACTGATTCAGCTCTCCTATCCTGCCAAGCCATAGTTGTTTGTTTTGTTTTTTTTCCCTGCTGTTTTAATGAGCTAAACTGGTTCCTGGAGGCATTCAATGCATCCCGGAGTTACTGCAAGGTGAGCTGTGGGAAGAGGTGGCAGGGTGCAAGCAGCACTGCACTTTCATCAGCAACCAACTCCAACCTGTCCCCCAAAAACACCCCCAGACACAACTCCAGCAATCTGAGACCGTGCCACCCTACTGGCAGGCACCAGCTCCTAAAACACAGCAAAAGGTTCAGGTGTCTCTGCTTCTCCAGCTCCCAGCTGTGCTTATTAGCTAATGCCAATCTCCACCTGAGCCCAAGATCTGCCCCTTCCAGCAACATTCACCAGCTGCCAGAAGTTTGCCCCCAACTTTCAGGAGCAAAGATTGCCCTGCAGATAGGACACTGTTGTGCAAGCCGAACCAAAGAGAAGTTGTCTGAAAATCTGCTCTTCAGCTGACTTGTGAGCAATTTCTGCATTTCCCTTTGCCATGGGAGTCACATTAATTATCACAAAATGAGAAAGGGCTTCATCCAGCCCTCCTCTGAGTCACTGGGAAAAGAATTAAAACTTATTAGCTTCTATTTTCTTCGCTGCCTCTCTTCAAAATCTCATAACAGTCAGAAATCCAGATCGAAAAATATGACACACTCCAATTTCCCTTGATTTAATTTCCTCAAGCTGACTAATTTAATTGCAATATTTACCTGGTACCTCCAGCTCTGCCTTCTCACTCTCTTCCCGTTGCTGAAACCTGCTCCCAAGTCCAGTTCCCTAAGCTTAAGCCTGCACAGATGTTTCCAAATTTGTATTTGTTAGAGACTAATTACCCTCATTCCTCAATGGATTATTCCACAGGGATCAGATACTCTGTTTGCGATCACAGATGTAACACGCACACACACATCATGTGGTTATCTGAAAGGGGTTGGGTAATTAGGTATCACAAAAAGGATGAATTGTTCGAAGTGAGAGAGAGATTAAAAATGAAATGGGGGTGATTTTTTTAATCTTCCACGTGATGTGAGCCTGAAAGATATAGCTGGCCAGCAGAGATACTAGAGCACAATTAGAATTCAGCCCAGCCACCAAGAACTCAAACATCAAGGTGAGACAATATTTTAAAAGTCCACGGAATAAAAATAAATAAATAAATAAAATAAAAGCTTTTAATGGATTTCAGGCTTTATCTTTCCCCTGTTATACTTCCTAGTTTGGAAATAATAATTAAAAAATAGTGGCAGCAGTGAAAGCATAACTTAAAAGGAGTTCATACCTCTAGGAAGGCAAGGAAGAGAGGAGCCAGTTTATTCGTCGTAGTTATCTGCTCCATCTTCCACCACCGTAAATGAGATGAGCTCCTTTCACCAAGCCAAAGGCACCAGGGTCTAAATCAGGAGGGATCTGTCCCAGGACACAGCCGTGCATCAGCCCAAAGCCCCCAGAAGCATCTCAACAGAGCCCAACCCTTTGCTGAGGGTTATGTCTCAATGCACACGACTCCTCGTGTGGGTGAGGCTGTTCACACATTTATGTATTTTCTAGTTTGGGGCTTTGGAGGCGGACTGTCAAAGGTGAGAGCTAGAGATCGTAAATATATTTGGAGAGCTATAGCAAAGAAAAGCCCTTATGAAAAGGATGCTCTCCTGGTGGCTCACAATCATCCCATAGCACTTTTCTCAAGACCAAAAGGAATTGATCCCATGCTGGCATCTCAGCAGACAGAGGGGAAGGGTGTAAAGTGCAAACCTGCTCCCAGAGTCTGTGTACCTCCCAGTTACAGAGCAAACACACCCAAACCCCAGTTGTCCAGAGAACGGCCGTATCTCCACGTGCCCTTCTGCAGCAGGGTGCTCACAGCTTCCCTTCCCCACTGCAAAGAAGGGGACACCTTTCTGGCCTTATAAGAAAAAGGTTGCAGCTGTGTGCTCTGCAGTGCTGCCACACAGGACTCAGACAAGCCCCATCCCCTCTGGTCCCAGCTCTGCCCCACCCAACCAGCCACAGCCACCACTTCGTTCCCAGATCCCCCATCCCCATCCCAAAGGAGGGCTGCATTTTTATTTTATTTTTTATTTTTCTACGCTATTTTTTCACAAGCAAATCACAGCTAGAGCCTGCGCTGAACCACCCCATTACGAAGAACCCCGTCTCTGAATAGTGGGGCAGCTTTCTGCTGTGTCCTGGCCCCGGACAGGACAGGGAAAGGCGCCACCAGTGACTTTCCTGTGCACCCTTCAACATGAAGCAGCCCTGCTCGGTGGAAGCCCCTTGGCACCACGAGCATTAGTATTAATAACGATGGTCTGTTCATCAAAAGTGAGAGCAGAGAGGAGCTGTTTCAGGAGCCTGACTGGAATAGGAAAGGAAACCAATTTGTGCTGCTTGCCCGATCCCGACTAGGGCATCATCATACCAAGGAAATTAGGATTCTCTGGTTATTCAGCTTGGCTTCTGGATACCAACAAGACGGTGGAAATTATGAGCAATTATCTTCATTATTATTTTGCTTACAGAGCCAGCCAGCCTGCAAGCTTAAGATGAGCCCTGCGGAGTCCCACCAGCGGTGGTGCTCAGCCCCAAACCTTCCCAGCCCTGCATAACCTGAACGCAGCACACGTCTGGCAGCTCGATGCCGGCTTGAGTGGTTACCCACGAGACAAATGCTCACGCACACACTCGTTACTACATCTCTATTCCCATGCAAACCCCAGAATGCCTCGCTACGTGCCGAGCCTAAAAAGCTGAAGACTTTTGCACGAGTTGTAATCCAGCTGGCAGCATGACAGCGGGATGCCAGGCTTCGGAGCAAAGGGGGCTGCTTGGGGTCTCAAGGACGGCCACCAGGTCACCACAGCTCTAAATCCATCCTGATGGCTTCTCAAAATAAGTATTTTCCATAACTGCATGGAAAACAAAGGTAAGGAAGGGCTTACAGCACCAAAATAACCCATTTTCTTTGTATCTGCAGCTCTTTCACTCTTGGTTAACATCCTGTGTAAGGCTGGCCATTCCCCACAAAGACAGAGCTGGGATTTTTGTCCTAGGTGAAAACTAGAAATCTTTATATTTTCCTTTGTTAAATGGTGAAATACCTTCCAAAGGAAAGAAATAATTAAAAAAAAAAAAAAATTTCAGGTCAACTAACATGTTTCTCTTCAGTTTTGGCTCCTGATGACTCCTCCCTCTCGCTTGCCTGTATTTTGAAATAAAAGGTTATTTCAAACTAAAAATATCAAAACCTGTCATTTGAATCCAGTCAACTTCCAAAATACTGCCTTTTTTTTTTCCCTGAGAAGTTAAATTGTCAAATCAATACCATTTCTGCATGCTGCACGTGTAGAAGAGTATGATTTCATCAAACCACCACCTTCCAATGCACATTGTTTGCAAAGAAACACAAATTTTCTCTGCCACAAGCAACCAGGTGGGGGATCGAATAAATCCAGTGGATTTCTACAACGTGTAGGAACTGCGAAAAGCAGAGATAAAGAATCAGTTCTGTGGGGCTCATCTTTTAATCAGTCTTGTAGAAATATATTAAAGTGGTACTAATTAGTTACTTGATCATCATCCTTTATAGAACAACATAAGAGGATTTTTTTTTTTTTTTTTTTTGCTATGGCACCAAACTGGAGAACAGGGCAATTTCCCTTTATTTTGGGGTGTTGTGTTCATTTTTTCCCTTCTCTCAGCTCTCTCCTCTCCCCTCCAAGCAGGGAAAAGCACCGAGAGGTCCCAGGAGGCACCAGCAGGCAGTGGTTCAGAGGCTGGGATTCCTGCAGAAAGGTGGCTATGGGCAACATTTACACACATTGCAAAAAAAAAAGTGTGATCACCTTGCCAACCTCAGAGGTATAAATGATGGTGCCACCACCCTCAGGATAGCCAGGTCAGTGCCCTGAACCTTCTTTTAGCTCTGTCCCAAGGGCAGCACTCGTATGGGTGAGGAAACACCTGGTTCACCAGCAAGGCTGCTCCATGGAGAGCTGGGCTCTTCCTATGAGTGTGTAAAGCAGGAGACTGAGCCACAGGATAAATCACTTCCCGTCACAATCCAGTCGTTAGCACCCCCACAGCCTCTCAGCGGTCACACTCCATCTCGTGTTGGGGGCAAGAACGAGTTTGTTTGTTTGTTCTTTCACCTAAATGTTCTTCTGTTAAAAAAGATTCAGTTTTACTGAAACTGAAGCAGCTTGAAGAATCTTCCTTTCTGTCAATGCCGTTAAGAAATCATGAAATGACATAGCAGCATCTAGTCTCAAATTTTCTGTTAAAAACTTCATTTCAGAATTGAGAGGTCTTCATTGTCAGAAAACAGCAAAAATACAAACATCTGTAGGACACAATGACAAGTCTGCTATACCTTATACTACTCGTTACCGTGACTGACAAGTTCTGCCATAACAGAATGTATGACTTGAAACACTTGGCTTTTTACTTATTTATTTCTAAAATATCAGGGACGGCACACACCAAATGCTTCTCTAGAACAAAACGTCTCCCGTTTGTTCCAACGAAGCAAGCTGACATGCAGA